CAGGCCATGGACCTGGACCTTGTTGGTCTGGGGCCTGGGAAGTAGGGACTACAGATTTATATGTAATAAAATCCTACAAATCAATATGGAATAGAAAAATTATCCAATAGGCAAAGGTTCAGAGAATATAAGCAATAAATTCACAAGAAAATAAATGCCAATTGCCAATAAATATATGGTGTGCTAATTGAATTGGCCCAGGTTCTCATGCACCAATCCTGATTCCAGGAGTATAGGCAAATAAAACTGAAAGATACAACTTCACTACAGAAATGAAAATTAAAGCAACAATCAAAGAAGCAAGAACAAAATTTTTCTTTATCCTTCCATGTCTGGAAAGTTCAAGTTTACCTATCAGAATTCTAGTATCCAGGTAGGCAATGACAGGTTCGAAGCCTCAACATTCAAAATGTGCAAGTAAGTTTGGTTAAATTTCCTTCTTCTGAAATTAATTTTTCTTCTTTCAAAGGTATCTATTGCCTCTGGTCCGGAGAATAAACTATAGACTTTTGCCTGAGAGGTGAACAATTTCCCAGTGTTATTCAATGTGTGGGCTAAAAGGTATTTTAGTTGTTCCCTTATTCCCATTTCCTGACGAAATTGATGCCACTAAGTCCTCAGCTTTTGAGGAATGTTCAGAGAAAAAGTTTGCTATTATGCTTGTCTCTATTAGTAATTCAAATTTCATCTTTCTTGTATCTGCTAAGCCAGAATAAATTTAGAAGAATAAAATGGGAAGAATTGCTTTGCCCATTGTAAAGAATTATATGCAAGTTCAGCAATCAAGGAAGTGTGGTATTGGCAGAGGGACAGACAAATAGTTCAATGGAATATAGTAAAGCATGCAAAAATAAATCTATACAAATATGCCCAACTGATTTTTGACAAAGTTATAAAAGCAATTCCATGGAAGCAATTTAACATATGGGCTTGGAACAATTACATATTCATCGGCAAAAAAAAAAAAGAACCCCAAACTAAATTTCGCACTTCACAATTTAACTAAAAATCATTTGTATAGCTAAATATAAAGTGCAAAACTATAACATTTTTAGAAGAAAACACAGGAACTAATCTTTGTGACTTAGGTTAAGGCAAGAGTTCTTATGCATAACAACAAGCACATGATCCACAAAAGAAAAAACTGACAAATTAAATTTTATCAAAATTAAAAACTCTGTACTATAAAATGCCTTCACGGAGAGATGAAAAGACAAGTCTTTTCCAAAATGTTGAAAATATTTGAAAATTACACATATGGTAAAAAAAACTTGTATCCTTAATATAAAAAGAATTCAGTACACTCAACCATGAGAACATATACATTCCAATTGGAAAATGGGCAAAACACTTGAACAGATGCTTCACAAAAGAAAAAATGCAATAACAAATAAGCACATGAAAACATGCACAG